AATCATTTGGTAATTTCAAGTCCTTGGTACCATATATACACTTCTGCTGTAAGATTTGTCTAAAAAATTACCTGGCACCTCCCTGTCAGTGGAGGTCACTGCCCCATGTCCCAGGGAGATGTATCAGGGACTAGAGGAGTAGGGGTGATCACTGTGACCATCCATGGTCAACTGGGTGCAGCAGGAGTCCAAAGACACTGAGATGCCCTTAGTGACTGCTGGTGCCTCAAGAAAATGCTGTACCTGCAAATGGCCTGCAAATGACTCAGAAGCAAGATCTTTAGTTTCTGTGGGCTGTCAGAAAGCCACACACATTTTCCATTATTATATTCACATCTTTTAAATGGTGTTACTTCATAGTAGTTTTCTTGATTTACATAGGACAAGCTTACTATAGTGCCTTTCACATAGGAAATGTTAAAACCTTCTTGCAGAAGTCATTGCCCATCTCTTTTTGCTGTCAGCTGTTGATGTGTAGCCAGCAACATCAGTAGAGTATGAACCCTCAGTGCTGTGGAGGACTGCATGAAGGAGTTTTCATTGGCATTGGGAAATAATTTCATTGCATCCTTTTGAGCAAGTTTGTAACTGGAGGAGAACATGATGAAGAAGAAACAGGCCATTGCAAAAAAATGCAGAGATGAAACCACCTAGAAGTATGCTATATTAGCAAGATACAAAAAACCTGAAAACATATTTGTTCTATGGTATTTCCCTTCTGTCTACAAAGTCCAGAACTGTCTCTCCTTCTTCATTGATTTCTTTCTGGCCTTCTTCAACTAGCCTGTGAATTGTGCTGTAATGCTGTTTGCTACTGCTGAAAGAGTAGAGCTGGGAAGCATCTTCCCATGCCTGAAAAGATGGCAGGGGAATCGCTTCTGGTTCCTTGTTCTCAAAAAAGCACTTCAGGTTTCTCTCGCTTAGCTTGGTGGCATAAAGCTGGAAAATCTGCTCCAGTTGCTCCTTCTCCTTCCCCTCGTACACCTTCCAGAACATCAGCTGGAGGTGGCTGACTTTTGACTGGCAGCTGACACAGCACGTGGCTAGCAGGGAGAGAAGAGCTGTGGTAACTATCACACACCAGCCTAAAATCTGGGAAGACAAACAAAATGAGGTTCAGGTTAAAAAGGACCAAGTGAAAATGCTCCTTAAATCAAGAGTGTCTGACAAAGTGACCACACTTTGTACAGAGGGCTTGCTGCTCCTCTTGGGACCCCGCTGCGGGCATCTCATCCCAGTTTACATTCAGTACTTGGCATTAGTGTTAATGGGGTGCCATTAACACTGGCAGTGGCAGGTTCAGGGACAGATGATCTCCAATCAGACCTCAACTATAAGACTGTATGAAGAAAAATCTAAGGCAAGTCTAAATGATCAATCAAATAATGTTATGGCTGAATAGAACTATACAGAAAACAGCAAAGAAGTGTCTGAGTAATTTAGAGAGGATATCGGTGAAAGTTTACTGCAAGACCATAACCACCTGGTATGTAGCATATCGGAATTGCTCACTGAATTCTGTCACACAAAGGAAAAAGTTCATAAAGAAAAGAAAATATCACAATCGCTAAATGGTAAACGTTTTTCTGTCTCCTGAAAGTCTTAAATTACTCAGCAAGAATTAGGATTGACACAATTCTGAATTGTGATGAATTACAATACCAAAAAGGGTAATTAACTTTTGTTCCAGGTCAGTTAGTCTCTTAAACTGTGAGTATTTTTAGATGTGTTGTTTTCAGACTTCTTGTTAATGATAAATTAAAATATTTTTAATTTATAAAAGATACCCTCCCCCCCCAATCAGAAATAATTAGCAAGTAGCAATAAAAAAGATGGGCTTAAATTTAAAAAATGTTCCCCATTTCTGGTACAAGGAGATTCACTGAAATCTATGCTATTCTTGTGAACTTTTTTTGACTTTGATGAATCAGCCCTTTGTAGCAGAAAATAATTTTTATGCCAAAACTGGTTTAAAATTACCTTCTTGTCCAGTCCTGTGAGAATGCTGGGAAGAGAAGGCATGAGAAAGAAGAAACAGCATATGCATTGTCAGGTTTGTGTTGGCACTGTTGTACAGCACAGTTCATCTAGGCTGAGTTAGAAATAGTTGCTGTATTTTCAGAGAACTTTGGGTTTTTTTGATAGCAACTTCAGTTTGACAAAATTCTGTTAAGAACATCTTAAAAGAAAGAGCTAATTCCAGGATTAGAGCAAGGTCTGGGGATGGGAAAATATCCCTGAAATTGATACTGTGGGATGTTCTTTTCTAAAGAGAGCAAGGTTTGAATGCAGTTTTTTCATTCCTAGCGACACTGGCCTAGCCAATAGTTTTACCCACCTACTGCACTGCAATAACATCTGCAAAAAAAGAAACCCTAGTTTTCAAACAGTAGAACAAATTCCAGTGTGTAACTCCAGTGTGGAAAAAATCTTCTAGGTTTTGGAGACCTTTATGGACTGGAACTGATTTCCCATGCTTTAATAGTGATCACATGGAAAGCTGCAACCTTTCCCATGTGAACTCTTGCACTGATGTTAAAAGAATAGCTGCCAGTAAAAATACATATTTAGCTGAGGGAATATAGCAAGCTTTCTCTGAGAAACAGAGAATCTTGGCAAACTGTTATTCTTAGGGACTGGTATGGAAGAATAGCTTCACTTTCTTTTCTTTTTCCAGCCCTTTGTACCAACTGGGGATTTCAGTGGGTATTTGAGAAACTGTTCTTTTTAGCAGCTTTTTATTTTCTTGCAGCTTGGAGAACGAACTCGTATATTCTCTTTCTATAAACTGAGTCACTGGTCTTTAACTATTTCCTATACATACAACTTAAAGTCGTAACTATTCGTTATTTCCTTCCAAACCTCTCAAATAAATTGTTTTGTCTGCAGCACAGGCTTTGGCTGCATTCCAGTCCTATTTGCATGAGGACTTAAAAACAAAACCAGCTCTCAGGGAGGAAATAGTTCCAGGTGGATACAATTGTCTGACAAAAAGTTGCTGGCTCTACAGTTTTTCCTTCCTGCTGACAATAATCTTTCCATCATTTTCTGTAGCCTTTTTTTTTTTTTATTCCCTTAGTTTTTATTTTTTGCCTCTGAATTTATTTACGTTACAAGGCAGTGATCAGAACTGTATGGCACAAATGTAGTGAAATGTAATACAGTCTCAGCTTTGTATATTCTGCATATTTTATTTTAGTGCTTCTCCCTTCCTCCAAGCAGGACAAAAACATTCTCTCATCTGGAATCATGAACATGAGCAATACAAATGGAAACATATTATGTAAGCAGCCATAAATTTGTCACATGTCTTATTTTCTAGTATTTTTCTACTGTTAGTGACCTAAGATTTCATTGTTGTAATCAGGATGATATAAAATAGGAGAATGTGGTATGGATTTTTTAGTAGGACAAACCCCTTTAATGGTCTGACATCTGTTAATTCAGCCTCCTAAACAATCCAGCAGTTTTTTCTCTTTAGAGCAATTTTCGTTCAGGAAGAAAACCTTAAGGTATCTGGTCTTATTGATCCTGCCATCAGTGGGGACCCCTAGGAAGTGTAGCAGAGCTCGAACTGAACTAAAAGATATATTGATTGTATTTTGCAGGGCTGCATCATGCCAAAACTTTGTTTATGTGAAACCATAAATGTTAGCATCTGACATCAGGATCTTCCACAGATAAATCACAGTGACTGTATAAGCTGCATAACACTCCATTTATTTTTCTTACCTGGGACTGTGCTTGAAGAGTTCGTTTCAGTTCATCACTCTCTGAAAAGGGCATGGAGCTTTTGTCACAGGCAATCTTGTGTAGCTCTTCAAAGCACTCTGTGGATTTGCTCTGGCAAACTGCATGTAAGTAGGCAGGATTCTTCAAGCCACTCATGGCACATTCATAAAAAGTCCCATTGAGCAAAGCCACAGAAAGCCACATCACAGGGGCTACCAGTGCATTTAAAGTGATTTGTCCAAAGATGTAAAAGAAATGGCAGATATTGCCTCTGGGGAATATTTTTCTGGGATTTGCCCAGCAGCCTGTAAAGAGTTTCCAGGTCTTGCTGTTCAAGAAATATCCAATAACTAGCAAAACAAAAGCTGGAGAGAAAAGAAATACCAAACCATACCTGAAGTTTTCATTGCTGCAGGGACATCTGAAAGCAACAAGAGAAAACACACGTTCACCTCCCATTGTCAGCAGTGCCATAAAACTGTAACCTATAGCGGTTTTCTGGTTCATAAAGAACTTCAGGATTGTTTGGAAAGCATCCATGTTTGATACTCACTGGAGAGGTAAAACTCAAGACGCTTTTATCTTTGGTTGAAGCAGTCTGTAGTATGTAGCAGGGGAGAGCTCTCCAGAGGAGCAGCCTGCTGCTAGCCTGCCCCCATACACGCTGTCTAGATAATGCGGTGATGTCACTGTCTGGAGAAATGCACTCACAGGAGACCCCTCCGCTACCAGAGCAGATGTTGCACATTTACAGTAACATTTGTCAGTAGTAGAAGGAAAGCAAGTAATGCTCAGTATAATCAAGTAAGTTTGCAGTCTTGGCAATCTTATTCTTGGTGGGTTGTTGTTTTTCTTCATGACTGCGGATGGAGATCACAGTAAAAACACATACCAGTTGCAGGAGTTCTTTGAGCTGTGATTATCAAAGTTGCTGGCAATGCAGTGAATGACCTAATATAGGTGCTAATGGTCCCAGCAGAGTGCGACATGGCTGAAAGACAAGCGATAAAAGTAAAACCACTTTGTGTGGGGTTGTAAATGTAGGAACATCAGAGATGGAATAGACAGCCTTCTGCTGTACTTCACACAGCTCCAGATTTGCATCTCTGGCTCAAGCTGTTCATAGAAGGGACAACTCTGATTTCCAGCCTGTCTGGCCCTTCCCCTGTTTTCCTAGGGTAGAACTGGTCTACATGTTGCTGCCTCTAAAATTTTACCTGGGGCTTGCGCACAACAGATTCAAACAGCAGAGATTCATCCTTTTGCAGGTTGCTTTCAAGATGTACCTTGGGGTCACTCCTAGCGTGAGCTGCAGTAACACAGCAGGAAATGAATTCTCCTTAATCCTGGACAAAAACCCACTAGTGGATTTTGTGGAGGAGTTGCCAGCAGAACGAGTGTCACTTTGCTACTGTAACCTCCTCTGTGGGGTGATTCGAGGTGCCTTGGAAATGGTAAGGAAGCACCCATCTGTTTTCTCCATTCTTTGTTAATATGCAGAGGCACGGGAAAGCAAAGCCACTTGCTCAGGTAAATGAAGGAAATTTGTTAGTGTTTAACCTCTCTCTCAGATTAAATATCTACATCTAATTCCTGGGCTGCTTTGTGTTTCTGTCAATATCTAGTTTGTCAGACACCTTCTGTTTCAGGAAAGCAAAATCTGTACAAACATGATATATGTACATCATTCCAGGAATTATAGTGCCTGATATAAGACTAATTAACAAAAATATTATTAGTACATGACCAGGAAATTTTGTGATCACAAAATTGTCAAGTTCATCATACAATACAGGTTCTTAGAAGAAAGTAAAAGCGCTGGAATGAAAGGTAATGTATTACACAAATTTCAGTGTACATAAACTTGGTTTTTACTAACTTTGTTGGGAAAGTTATTTTAAAACAATCTAGAAATCTGCTTCTCATGAATCCTGAAAAGGGAGTCCCCTTGTGATAAGAGAGAAAGAAAAAGCTTGTTATTCTGGAGGAGTGGGGGAAACGGGGCATTTCTTTGCTTAACTGATCAGACTTGATTCTTTCCAGGTTCACTTAGCAGCAGAAGTTACCTTCCTCCAGGACAGGCTGAAGGGTGATGCTGTGACAGAAATAGGAATTACATTTTTAAGGAAGGATGAAGACAGAAAGCACAAAAGAAATAAGTGAAAGAAATACTGGGAGAAGCCCATGCTGAGCGATATTTTGCACCTTTTGTTTCTGAAGAAGACATGCAGGGTAAAAATGGCTTCACTGAGCCAGGTGCTCCAGTCATACATTTGAAAGGTGAAGAGAGCTGGGCAGCAAACAGGAGGGGCAGAGCAGGGGCAGGGCAATGTTAATTATCATGGCACAGATACCAGTATAAAAGATTAAGATGGCCTGCCCCTCCTTCTCACGTAACCATGCTCTTGGGCTGAGTGGAAGTTTTATCTCGGTATTTAGTGCACGCTGGATGCAAAATATTCATTTGGACGCCAACTGTTTTCAGCTAACCATGACCACCTTTTCCCTTTCTGTTTTTTGGTAATGTTTCAAAGCATGGTTGCTAGGTGGTGCTTTATTTCCCTGGCTATTTGTGGTTAGGAATAATGAATTAATCTTCTGTGACTCCTGGATTTAGTGTCTCGCTGCCAGATGCCTGTTTTGATGAGTAATGGTTTGCTATTCATTGTCCTCCAGACCGGATGTCCTGCTTTGAAACCAGAGAGGGATGTGGCTTCACTGATGCAGGAGCCTGTTTGGTCCATTACAGCTCTTTCAGACCCCAAGTGCACTTTTGCCAGCATGGCTGTTCAGCCCCGTGCGTGCATGTCCATCAGGCTGCAGCACTCAGACAACTGCAGCAGTGCTTGTGTTGCTTCGAGCTATGGTCTTTTTCATGTTAGCCTGCTCTTCAAGAGCACTGGTCTTATGACCAAACTGAACAAAGCATGGCATATTTAATGTGTTGTCACTGTGGATCTGTACTCACCTAAGGAAACTCAAATAAAAATTCAGAGATTGCCACACAAGTGGTTTGCTGATTGTTGTGTCTGTTCTTACATCTTCCCCTTCGAAGTGGACTTCTTACCACAGCATGACTGGGAAGCAGAGAAATAGGAGCCTTGCAGAGACCTGAGTTATAGGGAAGGTTTGATGTTGTCCTGTGTAATGCAAAATAATATGAGTGAGGGTTGGACAAAACCCCAAGTCCTAGCACAGTACCCTACCCTCAAGGCCAGCTCAGCTTTTCACTGAAGCACTTGTTTTAAACTGAAATACAAACCCTCAGCGCAGTTCAGTGAAGCCCAGAGGGAACTCTGATTTTATTGCTGTGATTTGTACCCTCATCTCCTTTTTTTTCCCTCAGTCTATCTGTTAATCCTGCTAAGTGAGGAACACCTCTTATCTTGGGGACAGTGGGGTTCATTTCCACTAGATCTGTATGATCTTCATGATAATGTTTCTTCCTTCATCTTAATAGTGTTGTACAGTGGTGATTTAGTGTAATGGAACTTTAAGAGAACAATTTTGTACAGAACAAAACCCAAGCTATTCATTACCCAGCCTTGGGCTCAGCCCAACATGCCATTTCCTGGTGCAAAAGAGGAGTTACAACCTGTGGCAACATATTACAACCAGGAAAAAGAAAATTTCGCTAACTTTTTTTCCTTTTAATCAGGGGTGGAAAGTCTTAAGGACCAGCCTGATTTCCCTGACTAGTGGTTATGGCCAGCTGGCTGAGTTGGACATGTTGTGACTTTGGCTGACCACAAAAAGATCCTTTGCAAGGCAATGGCCATTTTTCTTTTCTCCAGCAACATCCTACCAACCAACTATTCTCTTTTTATTGTTATCTGTGCTGGGCAGACATGCTCAATGCACACATGTTTTGCCATTAGCTTTTTTCGTATTTTCTTCCTACACTGGATTACCTCATCCATTCTGTTCTAAAGATGGAGTAAGTAAATGTCAGTTAGAAAAATGGTCGTAAACAATGGACAGAACAGTGATCCACACTGCCTTACCATTAGTTGCTGACATTAGCTACCCTATGCAGACAGTTTTTGCTTGTCGTGCTTGGTAGCAGTGGCTTAGCAACTTCATTTGCCAGCTCCTTCAGGACCCGCGGATGGATCTCACCAGGACCCACGGACTTGTGCATGTTCAGATCTTTAAGATGGTCTCGAACCAGATCCTCTCCTACAATGGGCTCAAGGTCTTCATTCTCACAGTCCCTGCAAAATGTCTGTATCAAACAACTTAATGGTATTTCTCTCTGTCTGTCTGAATAGCTTCCAAGTCAGAGTTTACTGTCTAGAAAGCGATTTCTGGGAAGAGCCCAGACTCGCCTCTAGAGTGCTCTCTAAACAGCTTTTCAGAGAAAAACTGAACTGATTGGAATTCTTTTGCTCATCTGTAGAAAGTACAAGCAGCTGAAATCAGTCTGGTGGATTCCTTTGGCAGGCACAGGTAGTTCCAAAATGCTGATTACTTCCCAGGTTTTAGAAAATACAGTCCTTGCCTTGAGAAACCAACTGACTGAAAGTAGGTATTTTAGTCTAGAGCTTGCACTAAGCTCTCACGAAAGATACGTTGTCAAGCGAGAGCTAATAAACTAAGATGAATTTCTCATCAAAACTTCCATTTCGTTTTGTCTTTTTGATACTGCCAAGTACAAAGGCTTGGTATTGTCAGTCCAGCTGCCAAATGCCCCCAAGATGTTAGGTAATAATTTGACATAGTACATGCTGACATCTTTGTGGATGATGATTAATTTGCACATGCGGTTCTTAATGAACAACAACATATGAAAGCTCCCGTCATGACAGATGTATTTATTTAGATGTACTTAAGCAAAAGTAGTAATGTGTGTTTTTAAACAAATCTGCTGAGGGTTACAACGATTAGCTTTTACATACAATTTGCATAGATTTCAATAAGAGCACAGAATAAGACTCATATCAGTAGGGTTGAAAGATTGCCAGTATTGCAAAGGGTTTTTTTCATTAAAACCCTGATTGACTTGCAATTGTTTCATTCACAAATCCTAAACCAGTGGGATTCTGATCTTCTTTCCCAAGTCTGACGTTGCTGCCTCTGTTTGTGTCAATATACTCGTGTAGCATGCTGTAATGCTGCTCTTGCGAATTAAAAGTATACAAAAATGAAATCTTCCGCCAGTCTTCATTGCTGGGGGTCTGAAACGGTGCTGGGTTAGTGGCTTCAAAAAAGCAATTCACATTTCTTTCTGACAGCTTGCTTGCATGCTCTTTAGCCTTGGCCTCAAAGAGCTCGCATTCGTTTTTTGAGTAGGCTTTCCAGAACTTGAGCTGAAGATAGCTAAATGGGGAGCAGCAGCGGCGGATACACTTCGCAATCAGTGCTGCAGCCATGATGGCGGTAATCAGGAACCATCCTATCAGCTGGGAAAACAGATAGATGAGTTATTGGTGGTTTTGCACAGTCATGTGTAGGAGTATAGAACTTAACATTGAAGCAGACATGAAAACTGTCAGCAAAACCACCCTGGAGTGCCTGTAACAGCCTGCTTGCTGAGGAAAGATGGGATCCCATGCACACAGTTCAGCTAGGCTTTCAAAAGGTTGTGCACTGCTGAGGTGCTTGTTGGATTGAGGATGAATACCAAAAAAAGAGAAGGTGAAGTTCTTTCCTCATTTATATCCAGCTTTCTTAACCTTAAAGGCAAGATACTGACCAGCAGTTTCTGCATTGTAGTCAGATTTACAGTATAGAGGGTGTAGAATCACCTCTGGTGTTCACCTCTTGTGCTGTGAACTACACCTGCTGGCTGCGTTTGATGTGATCTTGGAAAGTAACTGCTCTCCCTCCTATCTAAGCCTGTAAAAAATAGCCTTGTGTCCTGTGTGCTTGTATGCAGGACATGGATTTGACTATCAAATATGGGAATTCATTCTGTTTCATGCATGATTTCAACATCCCTAGGTAAGTCTCAGAGGCTCCACTAAAGCGGGTGTCCTAGAAGATGCTCGTTCCTCCAGTACCCAGTGGTACTTAGTTGGAAGTTCCAGGCATCCACTTTCACCTCAGGCTTTTTTTTTTCAAGTGAAAGACATTCAGTGCTAAAGAAAAATGAGTTGTGCTCTTGTTTGTTCTTAATTTTATTGGAAGTAGATCAGATATTAAAAATATTGGTCACTAATAAAAGTGATGTCACATCTTTTCTGGGTTTTTTTGACTGGTTTCTTTTAGATTTCATTGTAGCACCAGTCACAGTCAGTCTTCCTTGATTTTGCTCCTTTCTGAATTCAGTCATATAGTTTGCCCTTTTCCCACCTTTTTCTTGGAGGAGAAGCATGCTAAATATGGTAATTTAAACACTTTTATTGTTGTTTTTTTAATGTAAAAAATTTTATTGTTTTAATAAGCTTCTGTACTAAACAGGAACTTACAAAACCCCAAATACTTAGAATCTCTTACAAACTTAATTCCAGGAACTAGCCTTAATATTTTCATGAGAAAGCCTGATTTTTCTACTAGATAATGACCAAACAAACCTAGAAATTAGACTGGAGTGCTGCCAAAATTTGGGGTTTTCATTTCACTTCAAACAAATAATTCCACCCAAAAGTGCTAATTTTTTGATCATGCTGCTTGCCTTCAGCACAAGAACACTTTAACAGGATAAATACCTGTTTTAAGCATTCTAGAAAATTATTAGTATGTTCAAGCATTGAAATTTGTAGTCAAGCTGTCATTTGTTTCACTTGCCGGTTGTCTGTTTCATGGAGACATCAGCTTCCTCTATTTGTGACTTCAGCTTCCCCGCAGCTAACGAATGCTTACAGAAGTTCAAGGTATTTAGAGAAGTGGAAAAAGAGAGGAACTGGCCCCATGCCTAAGTTAAATGAGAAGAAAACTTGCTGTGCAAAGTTCTGGTGTCTAGACTGGTTGCCTGACCAGCTTTGAAAGAGGTTTTGTAAACTGCAGTGCCAAACAACTGCCATGCAAATATCCAAACCCAATAAATAGCACAAATACACACATTACTTTTCTGATAGTGTTTTGTTGAGAATGAATTTTTGCGAATTGTGTACCTTTAATAATTATACAGTGTGAGAGAGGGGGACTGTGTACACCACACATTGAGAGGCCAGGGTTGAAGCCCATAGAATAAAGAGCAGAGCGGCAAGGCTTTACCTGGGACTGTGCCTGAAGGCTGAGGAATTCACTCGATATCTTCTCTGATAACTTCTCATCACAGGGTATTTTGACCAGCATCTCGTGGCACTCTGATCCTTTATCTTTACACATGAGGTTCTTTATCAGGCTGCTTCCACTGGCCATGCACTCGTAGAACCTGGCTCTGAGCAGGGCCACTGCGAGCCAGGTGAGGGGGGCCACCACAGCTCTGGCTGTTACCTGTAGCAGCACGCAGAAGCAGCCAGCACAGGTTCCCCAGGGTCTGCAGCTGCAGCTCTTCTCCGGAGTGCAGATGCCAGTCAGCAGGTGCCACATCCTGGGGTTCATCATATAGCCGAGCAGGAAGAGGATGAAGGCAGGCACTATGAGGAAGACAGAGCCATACAGCATGTTCCCAGAATTGCAGGGGCACTTGAACACCACAGCCAAGAAGATGTACTCAATAGCAGCTGTCATCAGGGACACAATGCTGTAACTCAGAACTGTCTGGTGGCGGATGCAGAAATCCAGTACCCTGCGTAAGGTGTCCATGTTCTGCCTTCCCTTATTCTGAGGAGAGTGAAATGTCAGTCAGAAAACGGAAAGATAAAGCCGTCCTGAAGCCAACCCCAGTTTAGAGAAGCTTGCAGAGTTGTCACTTTCTGTTGGCAGTGCTGATGCGGTGGTGCAATGTCATGAAGCAGCTCTTAGAGGAAACAGAAAAGGCTCACTGCACACTGTCAGGGTCATGAAGTTCAACAAACTGAAGTGCAAGGTCCTACACCTGGATTGGGGCAATCCCAGGTACAGCTACAGGTCCTTTCCAACCCTAACCATTCTGTGACTCTATGATTCTAAACGGAGACCACAGTGGAACACCCCCCCCCCCCCAAGTAATCAACATCAAAACAACAAAGATTTGTCTTTGTTGCTGTAAAAATACTTTGTATTTGTCCACACTATGCATTGTAACTAGCAATGGATTAAACCTTATCATTTTTTAGTGAAGATTTTCAGTGAGGCAACAGATTCAGTGTGAATAAAATGTAAGAAAACCACCCAGAACTGTGCACAGTTTTTTTATCCTGCCTTATTATTAGCGGTAGAGTATGTCTTGTTCTCTTATGGAAGGAAAGTCAACTATAATCATGTTAATTTCTCAAGCTAAGCAGTTAATATTTTTAAAGTAGTTAGAGCAAATTAGTCAGTGCACACAGCCAGTAGTTTCCACCGAAGCTACAGCTACCAGAGTGCCATTTGACAGGAATCTGACTTTGGGCTCCCTCCTCCATAGCAGGTAGTGACAGCTTTGTGGCCCAGAAATAAAATCCCACCCAGAATCATCAGAAACTAAGCAGATGGCATGAAGTGGAAGGCTTGCATAATGTACAACAAATATCTGGAAGGGATTCCTGGGCTTGAAGGACTGGGCTGCCAGAGAAATATTTGCTCTCAGAGTCAATAGCTTTCAATCATGCACTGGAGGAGCTCCTAGCTTAGGTTTGCCATGTCTAAATCTAGAGGAGTGAACTGGCACTCAGAATTAAGGAAGTTGAAGCTTTGTTACTTGCTCGCAGCCATGTGGCTGAAGTTCTCTGAGATGATGTAGACAGTGTGGTAGTTTGCTGTCACCACATGCTTAGTGACACCCAGATGTGCAGCTGGACTGGGAGTTGGTGGTCACTGTCATCTTCTTTGCCACTTATCTGGGATTTTAGAGTCAAAGTCACCTGCCTCTTGCATAAACCAGGAGCTCTCTGGCCTGACTGGGTGCATCAATTTGACATCAATTTGATATCAATTCCATAGGTGGACCACTCAGTGGGTAAAGAACTGACTGGATGGCTGCACACAAAGAGTTGTGGTCAATGGCTCAATGTCCAGCTGGAGACCAGTAACGAGTGGTGTCCCTCAGGGATCGGTGTTGGGACCGGTCTTGTTCAACATCTTTGTCGCTGACATGGACAGTGGGATTGAGTGCGCCCTCAGCAAGTTTGCCGATGACACCAAGCTGTGTGGTTTGGTTGATACCCTGGAGAGAAGGAATGCCATCCAGAGGGACCTTAACACACTTGTGAGGTGGGCTGATGCCAACCTCATGAAATTTAACCAAGACAAGTGCAAGGTCCTGCACCTGGGTCGGAGCAATCCCAGGCACAGCTACAGGTTGGGCAGAGAAGAGATTCAGAGCAGCCCTGTGGAGAAGGACCTGGGGGTGTTGGTCAGTGAGAAAATGAACATGAGCCAGCTTCAGTGTGTGCTCACAGCCCAGAAAGCCAACCGTATCCTGTAACCGTATGCTGTAACTTATACTGCACTGATTCTTCCTGAGCATTATCATGGCACAGAGCTAGATCCTCATCTCAGGCTCAGGGAAATATTCCCTTTAGCTGGGCCATCCTGATTTTGGTACTGGCTCCTTCAGACAAGATAACAAGATGTGATGCTGCCTGTATCATTCCATGCTGTAACCGGGGCTGCAGGAACCAAGCATAGTGGAAACTCGATGGCTTGTCAAAACTATGTGAGAAACTAAACTACTTTCAGTGGACTTTTGGGTAATTTAAACCTTCCAAAGGCTCTTTGCAGCTCTTTGGGCAGCTGAGTAGATGGCACGGAGGGGCCAGAGCAGGCAGTGTTTTGTGGGTGGCTGCTGTGCTCAGCACTGAGCTGCTGCTGCAGAGGAAAAATGCCACTAACTGAAATGCTTGGCTTGGTCTGGAGGAGACTGTGATTTGTTATTATGCAGCAGAATTGTATAATAAACCATATTTAAAGACATAACCCAAAAAGGAAGGAAAACCAGCAAGAGTGAATCAGACTGGATTAGACCAGTTAGTCTGGTCACCTCTAGGTTACAGCAGATCACTGAGGAGGAGCACAGGGACAGGGGAAGCAAGATCAGGAACACACACCCCGTGAATCTGCATTTCAGGGATTTCCTTTGCATCTAACACCCACTGAGGTATTTCTTCTGTAAATTTGTCTGGTTTCAGTTTCAACCCATGCAGACTTGTAACACTCAAACCATCGTATAGCAAGCGTGCTTAGCCTTCATTCAAACCTGACACCACCCCATTTGATGCCCCCTAGTTCTGGAAGGGAAGAGACAAAACAGTGGATCTGATGCTGGTGTCTCCATCAACTCTTGATCTTGTACACCTTTATCATAGCCCCCTTTTTTCTAGGCTAAGAAGTCCGTAATGTATTTAGTCATTCATTTCTTGATGTATACCTCTGTATACTTCTTTTCTTTTCAATCTATGTTGTCACCCTGAACCATTCTATTTCACATGAGGAAAAATGGGGAGTATACCAGATTTGCACTGCATGGAAGGTGGAGCTGAATCACAGTTTGCTACAACGACATACTGAGATGACTTCATTTTCATAGAATCATAAAACAGTTAGGGTCGGAAAGGACCTTAAAATCATCTCGTCCCAACCCCCCTGCCATGCGCAGGGACACCTCACACTAAACCATGTCACTCAAAGCTCTGTCCAGCCTGGCCTTGAACACCACCAGGGATGGAGCATTTACTACTTCCTTGGGCAGCCCATTCCAGTGCCTCACCACCCTAACAGTAAAGAACTTCTTCCTTATATCTAACCTGAACTTCCCCTGTCAAATCTTAAACCTATTCCCCCTTCTCCTGTCACTACAGTCCATGATGAAGAGTCTCTCTGGCATCATTATAGGGCCCCCTTCTGATATTGGAAGGCTGCTATGAGGCCTCCACGCAGGCTGAGCAGCCCAAATTAATTTCTAGAATTTTGCTTTTTGATCATCCGTGAAGCACTGAGTTGATATTTTAGTGAGCTGTGGATTAAAATAAAATAATCTCAGTCCTGGGAGGTAATCTCAGTCAGCTCTGGGTCTATTAATACATGTCTGAAGGCAGAATTTGGTTTCACTTTGAACACCACTTACTCTACACTGCATTTCACCTGCCGTTTTGCTTTCTGGTCAGTCAGTCAAAGAAAGTATATCTGCAGCTCTTTAAAGCAGAGGCTTGTTTTTAAATATCCAGAATAAGTTTGTATTATTGGCAAACATTGTTGCCTTGATTTTTACCTGGAGGCAGCTAGAGGCAATGGGTAGCATACCTTGAAACCAGAATTCACCATGTCTGAAAAAGTTTTAGCAGATGGGGGGATGGCAGAAATAACAGAAGCAAGGTGAAATCACTGCAAAGGCACCTCATCACGGAGATAGGAACATAGGCTGCCTCTGAGAACCACTGGTTTAACAGGGGAACCTAATGACCAGCAGCAGCTCCCTATCTGGAGCAGATAACGACCACACAGGGGAAAGAGTACATCCAAGAAACCCTGCTACTTCTCTTTCTGAGCCTCATTCTAGCAGTGTTTTATTTATCTGTAATAAAATATGATTTCAAGATCAAGCTTCCTGGAAAAAGGGAGGGGAGCTCTGTGTGGAAAAGGATTAAACCTCCACTCGGAGCAAACATACTTCCAGTAAATACTCACAGGAAGAGGTGGGAGAGGTAAAAGAGACCACCCTGGTTGGTAAGTGGGGGAGTAGCTGTGCTAGGAGCTGAGTGAGGCCTAGCGATGGCTGCGGTGAGCCTAGCCTTTGGGCAGCCTCTGGACGCAGGGGCTGGAGGATGCCCTGTGCAGTAGGAGCTGGAAAGGCAGGGGGTGCGAAGCCTAGCTGCTTTCGACACTGTTCACCTCAGAGCCCTACTGCCCCAGGGCAGCTCTTTCTTGCCATCTAAATTAACACTTGTCTCGCTGCAACAGCTGTAAAGCATTAACTGGAAAGTGTGCAGAAAAACAGGTTTTGTTAAAGAACAGAGAATTCCAATTTAATGGTTGGTTTTGCCTTGATTTGCAATAAATGTCCTGCCTTCCAAGGGAGATGAAAACAATGTCAGAATGAAAAACACGAACATTTTTAGAACAGAATGACTATTTTTGTTATTTGAAACATCTTTTCATTTTGAAATATACTTTATTAAAATGAAAGAATCAGCTGAAACCAAACTGACTTGTTTAATATTTAATTGAGTTTGTCCTTAATGTTTTCATTTCTATCCTTTCACCTGCAGCTCAGTGATTCTTAAGCATTTTCTATGTGGAAAAAGTTGTTGTCTAACTAGTTCTGTGGTTGTATCAAATGCAGAATACTAGTCTTAAATGCAGCCTATGTGTCTGTGTGCATGCATGCTTGGGGGCTTTGCCAATACCTGTTGAGTAGATCTTGGTTTAGTCATGTTAGTAAGTCCTTACAATTGGTTATTTATTTTTTTTGCTGGGAGGCATCGCTATTTGTTTGGGATAGCAAAAGGCAGGTTTTGTTTTTCTACAAATCATTCTCTTTCTAGCAGCTCTGACCAAGGCCCATCCTGTCCCAAATTCCTGCAATTATTCTTATTAAGCTCAACTTCCTCTTCACACTATTAATTTAAAATCTTACGCATCTGTGGATGCAATAGAAAAGAGCACCTCAGCACTGGTTTTCTTTTTATAACAACTGCATTTGCTTGCTCAAGTGAAAGAGCTGTAAGCTGCATTTCTCTGTGTCAGTTCAGAAAGACAT